TGCATTTGCAGAGGCGTGGACAAGTACTTGTATCAACGTCTTGGGGGAGTATAATGCTGACTCGGACTGGACCCGTGCGGTCCCAAAATAGCTGGTGATTTACAGAGCCACAGAGAGCAAGCGATATGATTTCGAGGCTCGCGGAGCCGACGAGGCAGCAGAGATTGTGGCCGAGCTGAAGAAAGGTATTTCGCCGTATAGAGAAGTGTAGGGCAGGTGCCGGGCCACGCAACAATAGAGACGAGGTGGTATCCGTTACAGCATGACCATTAAGCCCGGGCCGTCAGCCATGTAACTGAGTGGCTGCGCGGCCAAGGGCTAGATCAGTCCAAGCAACCATTTTACAGCTTACGCATGCTAGGAGGTTAGGAGGCGACTCCGAACTCCGAAGGGGTTTGACTTTGGTGGGCGGACGCCAACGAGCATAGTCGGCGGCGGGTGGCTGTGTTGTGGGGAGTCGAAGACTGAGCCCAAAATGCGCGGCCCTTTGAGCACCCGAGGGCTTCGGTGTGGTGCATGCCGATCTACTAGACAATTGTGAAATCCTGCTTCAAAATGTACCTAGGAATGGGGTATTCCGAGAAGCTGGTCTGGCGTAGGATATTGGTATGGCGCCATTGAACAAGAATAAGACGCATGTGCGTCTTGGCAGCTGAAGGCCATGAAGTGCAGCTCGATTCGGCACTCCCAACTATCCTAGGTAGATGAACGAAAGAGCACAGCATTGTAATACGTGTAGCAATGAATCCCTTGTATTGCAATTATGTCGACGATGCACGACGACGCGTGGTGCAGCACCTTGCTGTGGGCGGTCTGCAAGATGCACAGGCCGCCGTCACCATCGAGCCTCGTGGCTCAAAAAGAGGCGGCACATGAGGCGGCTTGCCATCCGGGACGGGCTCTAGATGGGTCGCATGGCATTTTCTACCGCGTCTTCTACTCCGTTCACGGAGAAGAGGTTGTCTGGACGGAGTACTCCGTACGTGCCCAGGACAGCTGTACGTGGTACAGAGTACGTGGTGTGTGGTGCGTGGTTCGTGTGGCCGTTGGACGCCAAACGTTGGACGTTGCGTGTTACGTGACTGGTATTCCGTACTAGTAGCAATAATTCCATAATGGTGGCACCGCATTCAAGGACGTCGCACTTGTTCTGAGGATTTGCAGTCGCTGACCTTGTTTTTTTGCTCGCAGTCCATGATGCGTGTATGGGGTCGTCCTGCTGGCCCTGGGGTCTCCCAAGCAACAGCGCTCCGTATTGATTTCGATCTCGATGCTGATGCTGATACTGGTGCTGATGCTGTTCCTCGGTCTGACAAGCAACAACTCTTGCAGCAAGGATCCACCATGACGCAAGATTGAAGGAGTCTGGTCCACTTTGCGAGCCATGCTGCAGAATCACGATAGTACGTAGTATTTTCAATTGTACACACGAACCTGGGAGTACGGAGCATATGATGTGGCGGCTGAGCGACCAGATGGTTCAGCTCCATGATGAGCCCATGGGTGACGCCACCTTGCTGGCTGGCTGTTTGTTTCAATGCTTGGGCTTAGGAACTAGGTACTGTACTCCGTAGTCTGGTTACATGTAGTTAGCACCGATTCCCGGTTGTGCTGAGATGGGGAACGCACAGCAAGGAACAGGGCTTCTAGGGCCTGCTGCTTGTCGAGCTCCTGTTGTTGTAGGGGTGCCGTGGGGGGCATACGATGTCAGAGTGATGAAATAATTGGGGCCGTTGTGTCTCGCGTTGTTGGTCTGATGCTTGTTGGGTGATGCTGCATGCTTCGTTGAGCATATTAATGAATTGGCTTTTGCTCTGATGGCCATTCAGTCTGCGAGATGGATTCACCAGCCCGACTGCCGAGTAGGAAAGAGTTCAGGTAGTTGTTCTGCTGGCCCCCCTCCCTCTTCTGCAGGAGGCAGCCGGCGTTCTCCTGGCGATTCAGCGGATCGACAAAGTTAATCACGACCAAACTGACCAGGGCCTGTTGGTCCCCGGAACGAAGGAACGAGGAACAAGAAAAGGTTGGTGTGGGGTCACAAAGAGGCGTTGATGAGGCGAAAGCCACGCCGAGATTAGAAAGTGGGTCTGGATGACGATTGACTCCAAACCAAAAAGGAGTCCACCAAGGCAGTCCACCAGGCAAAAGCCCAACAGGGCATCGCCGTGTCAACCGAAATACCGAAATGAGGAGCATGGAGCAGATATATAAGTACTCAAGGGAGCCCAAGGCCCTCAGATGACATTTTCTAGGCCAATCGTACAGCCTTGAATATTTGCAAATACACAACACTACCATCTTCATCGCAACTACAACACACCACAGTCACCAGCCTCCATCATGAAGATCTCCAGCACCGCTATCCTCGCCCTTGCTGCCGCCGTCCAGGTCCGTCCCCCCACGCTGTCTTCATCCAATCTACAGCCCCTTTAAATTAAACAGACACTAACATCTCGGTAGGCCGCGCCTGAGCCTCAGCCCGACATCTGGGGCGACATCACCAGCGGCGCAGGCGGCATCATCTCGGACGCGTCGACCTTTGTCGACGGCGTCAAGTCGCACGCCTCGACCTGGGCCGACGGAGCATCCACCTGGGCCGACGGTGCCAAGTCACAGGCGTCCACCTTTGTAGCGGGAGTCAACTCGGATGCCTCGTCCTGGGCCGACGGCGCCAAGTCGCACGCGTCCACCTTCCTCGCCGGCGTCTCCAGCGACGTCGCAAAGGCCACCAGCGAGGCCGGCGCCAAGGCCTCCAGCCTGAGCCAGTTCATTGCTACCGCCACGGGATCCGCCAAGTCCAGCGCCGAGAGCGAGCTGTCCAAGGTGACGAGCTCCCTGGCCGCTGCTACCGGCTCCTCCGCCTCCGCGTCCAGGACGACGTCGTCGAGCACCGCCGGCGGTGCCTACGGCCCTGCTCCCACCGCTGCCATGGCCGTCGGTGCCCTCATGGGCGGCGCTGCTCTCTTTGCCAACTTCTAAGTCTGGCGCCGACCAGGAGTCCCAAGAAGAGTGGACATGAGCGACGGGGGGTAAGGGGGGGTTTGGTACGGAGCTGTGTAAAATCACGGGATGAAAGTATGAAACACGGAGGATCTGCAACGTGGGTGCATAAAAAATACCCCCATTAATAATGACCATGTAAATACGCCTTGATAATTTGGGAGTTGCTCAGCTTCAGATATGGATTTTGATGACTAGGTACAAGATAGATGAATAACAGCGTCATATCGCGTGAACCCTGCTCTCTTGTCTGTGTGCTTGTGGCATGTTTTTAGTCTTTTGTACCATGTATACTCTGGATATGACAAACACGAGTTGACTTGGAGTTGACTTGGAGTGTATGCCAGTAAAATCAGTGTCTTGATTATAGTATAATACTTGCCGCATCAACAGGGTATCCCAACGCAATATCCGTTAAAACAATTACGCCTTCGCTCGCATATCCGCCCACAACTTGTCGATAATCTGAAATACAGCCGTCACGTCCTTCATGACCTCGCTGTCTACATTGCCACGCAGCTTCTGCTGCACTTTATCCGGATGCCAACGAACACGCTCCTCTTTGAGCTTGGCTAGAAACGCCTGCTCTCCAATGTCCTCCAGGCCCAGCCCGCGGATGAAGAACGACCGCACGCCTGTGTCGTCAATATCCTTGCGTTGTCTGCCATCAACAGGCCAAGCCAAGGCATCCAATGTACCGTCCCATGATGCCCATGCACTCGTATATTTCTCCCACTGCTCGACCCACCGTCTTTTTTGCCGTCGTTCTTCTCCACGCCGCAGGCTTCGCTCCATGTCTTCGTGCAGCTTGCGAGCAATGCGCTCTTCTTCCTTCTTTTGTTTGCGCCGTTCTTCCCGTTTAGCTCTTTCCTCAAGTAGCCCGGCATGCGTCTTTTCCCACATCTTTTGTCGTACGTAGGCCGCATATTCCTCATCCGTCATTTGCTCTAGCTCACCAGTCGGGCCGCTTCTTTCATTGGAGTACACGTGGATAGGCTGGCCGTAGACAGATTCCCAATACGCAGCCCCTTCATCGTCAGCCATGGCATCAAACAAAGATTCTCGGAAGGCAGCCTCGGGGTCGAGTGGCAGAGGTTCGAAAGGATTTGGTGGTGTTGGCGAGCGGCGTCGATGTCGACGTCGGTGGTGGTGCCTGCTTGATCTTGAGGAGTGCGCCCTGTCGTCTCCATCGTGATTCTGGTGTCTCTCATGTCTCTCATTGTTTCTGTGTCCGCTTCTGGATCGTCGACGGCGAGACTTGTCTGATTTGAGCCTCAGTCGTGACCGACGAGGCCTGGTAAGATCATCGCCTCCATCTTCATCCTGAGTATTTCGCGATAAATTTTCCGCTCTTGGAGACGACTCACGCGAGGCGTCTTTCCCATCGTGGTTCGAAGCCGCGCGCGCGGCCGAGCTTGCTAAGTCCTCGTTTATTGACGACAGAATGTGACGCCGCTTTCTCGACGGGGTTGAATATGCCATGGCGAGGAATCCATAGTCACTGCGGCCGTAAGTGCCTTGACAGCCTCTTCCTGTTGGGACGTGATAACACACGGGCGCGGTTGCTCGCAGAGACGCAAAAATCTGTAATCCTCGATCGCAAAGACTCACGGTTGGTAGTTGACCGCCAAGACCGTTAAACGTGGGGCTTGGTCAGTGTGCAAATGGAAGGAGCGATCGAGACACGGGGCCACGGAGGGGCTGTCGGCCAAGCCTAGAAATGTGACCAGGGTGTCGCAACGGCCACGAATCCAATAATTCTGCCATCCAGGTACAGAAACCTAATCCGCCTTTTCTCCCACGCCCAGGCATCTCAAATCTTTGTCTCATCCGTCGAACGCTGGTCTCTGGCATCCATCTTCCTCACGCGAGTACTTCTACGATCGCCAACAATTGATTGTGTCACGATGCGCTGGTAAACACGTCTCAATTTCCACCTTGACAACCCGCAAACACCACTGTCGACCGCGGCGTTTGCGACGCATGTACCAGCCAGCACCATGGCCGGCATATTGCTACTTCTCGGCCTTTGCGTAAGTGAAACCATCTCTCTGCAGCAAGTAGTTTGAATGAACAGCTAGCTTACCAAAAATTTGACTACAGGTGGTAATGGCCGTTGCGTAAGACTGCAAAGCGAAGTCCACCCCCGAAGCAAGACAAAAGCTAATGGCACTGCAGGTCATTCCTTGCCGGAGCGCTCCCACTCTCCATGACATTGTCACAATCACAACTACGATTAATATCTAGCATTGGTGTTGGAGTATTGGTAGGGACGTCACTTATAGTCATTATACCCGAGGGAATTGAAGCAGCTGCGTCATCCCCTATCACGTCATCACATGCGCACAAGGTTCGAAGCCTGTCGCGACGAAGTCCGTGGAAATTTGGACTTGAAGAAAGAGAAATTATCGAACAACTCGCTGCAGTCACGACAAGGCACCAGGTGAACAGGGACGACGGCGCAAAGTTGCACTCAGAACCGATGCGCATCATCGTTTCTCAAAGTACACCGACCCCCGACCAAAAACGAGATGACCAACCCTCCAAACCGGCGCCGACCGATGACAGCCATGACTCGCCGAAGAAGGAGGGCGAGAAACACAAGGAGGAAGAGCATGTCGAAATCCCGGCTTTTGAGGTCGGCTTTTCCATGATTCTCGGCTTCATTCTCATGTTTCTCATCGACCGGCTGCCAAAACATGCGTCTGATAGTCTACAGTCGGGCCCGCAACCGCAGCATTTTAGCCTGGATAACTTGGGTGGCAACGGCATTGAAACCACGTCGGTAGATGAAGAGCAAGGCTTCCTGGGTTCGCTGGCCCCAACACCGAAGTATACCAGGACCTTGGCTACGACAATTGGTTTAGTTATCCATGCTGCTGCGGACGGCATCGCCATGGGTGCCTCATCAGCAAGCTCCAATGTGAAGCTTGGATTCATAATTTTTATTGCCATTATGATTCACAAGGCTCCTGCAGCCTTTGGCTTGACCTCGGTCCTTTTGAGGCAAGGATTGTCGAAACGGGCAGCTCGCGGCCACCTGGCCGTCTTCAGTCTAGCAGCGCCGGCCGGAGCCTTGTCAACGTGGCTCATGATCAAGTTGCTTGGTGGTGATCACCTTGACGGTGATGCGGGCATGTGGTGGACGGGAATGTTGTTGCTCTTCTCGGGCGGTACCTTCTTGTAAGTTTGATGGCTCAATTTGGTCTTCAGTGCCTCTGTGTCTCGCTAACGGTCTTTTTCTCTCCTCCCCTCAGATACGTAGCAATGCACGCCATGCAAGAAGACGGTTCATCTCATAATCATGAGAGCCACTCCACTACAAATGGATACTCGGACGGCACACCGAGTGTTCAGCGAAAACCAAAGGGGCCCGAGATCCGTGATACCTTGGCCACAGTTGCGGGCATGTTATTGCCACTTCTTACGCAGTTTGGACACCATCACTGAAATTGCATCTGTGACAATTCATTGAGGATCAAAAAAAGGGGGAGAAGGGGGGGGGGGGGGGTGGAGAAGGAACTGGGTGTTCGAATTGCTCATTGACATTCGAAAGCCATATAAGGGCATTTAGGCATTTACAGAATACGACCATAAGGCTACTAAGTGGGACTGTAACATAGACCATAGCGCTGCGATTTTGATAGGTTGTGATATTCCATGAGTTTCGATTGCACAATGCGAGCCAAGGCTGGACCGAGGAACAACCACAACTGCCTAGTTACCCTAGGTAGCTACCAAACTTCAGGGGGGCAGTTTTCACGGTGTGCTCGAGTGCAGAAACGCCACCTTGGACATGAACTCGGGCCATGGTTTCAAGACCCGTCCATGCGTTCTAGGTCTGCTATGACGCGATACTAAACGTAGAGGTTGTGCATAGTTTCTACAGCCTTCGGCATTTATGCTGGCGTTTATGATCACGCATCTCGTAGATTGGTTGGTAGGCTATCAATGTCTAGCCAGAACAGGCATGAAGCATGAGGACGGATGAACGGGCAGAGCAAATGAACTAGTATTGCAGCCTCGGTTGGGGGCCGTTTGCAGGGGCACCCGGATCCAGTGGTTTGCATAAAGCCATGCCCAACACGTCTCGATGGGTCGTTCCTATCTGTTGTTCATCGTTAGTTGTCAGCCTATTAAGAGGGCGAGTTGATGGAGGGGAAGAGAAGGAAGCTGGGGGGGCCCTGAGACGAATGGGAACAAGTCTAATACTCCGACTCGGAAAAAATACAATAAACCACCGGTTTGAATACCAGGGGTGCCGTGTCGCAACATTGTAGTATGTATGCTCTGTGATCAATGCGGGGACATAAGACACTGAAGCAGAGGATATGTACATGTCGGTGCGGGGGGTAAAGAGTCGGGTCAGTATCCGACAGGCAGGCAATCCGATGTGTAACCAGCCGTCGGAATGTATTATACATACTCCGTAGTCGCGTTTAGGATATTGCGGGTAAAAAACCCGTGCCGTACATTTCTGCCCGCGCTCAACGTCTAAAATATCGGGTCGATGTCCAGTCTTGGAAAGCCTTGCTAGACATAGAAACAAGATACTAGTTATTATTAGATGCGCAAAACAAGGGATAACTTTCCTGGCCAATAACCAACAGTCGACATGAGTTCCCATCAAGACACATTGCGCCCCGTGGTTGCACCCCTTGGTTTGTCAGGTGGGCATTCCCGAAACCGCTAGGAACCACCAACAATAAGATCCGCCGTTGATTCCGATTCCGTAACTGGGACTGTTACAGATGGCGGCGAGGCTGCGCACCAAAATGAGGCTGCTGCGGACGGTTGTGACAGTTGGTGATGTAGTCGTTGCGATGCATAAGACATTAGGGTTTGTACGACCAATGGCCGACGAGTTAACGAGTAGAGAAAGGCCTCTTCTAGCCAATCCGCCCATTCCAAAATCCCGAGAGTGGTGTACATAGTAATGTGTGTAATGCCGCATATGGTGACGATTTACCTACCTTACTGCACGCCTCGAAGCAAGGTCCACTGGTGATACCCGTGTGCTATGGTGCCTGAGCATGTTGGATCATGTATGTGGCCAGTTTCTGCTGCACCTGATGGACAGTCTTTCTCACGGTTGTTTGACCCGAGTCCAAAACAGCTAGCAGGCGAGACATGCATGTCTTTGTTGGCCGTATTATTGACCGAATAGAGAAGGTTCTGCGGAGTACGTACAGTAGTTACTATGACCGGTTCAGGCATGTGCCACTGATCAATCGATACAACCAGCTCTGTAGGAGGCTGGCCAAATCAGGATCCATTTCAAACCTGTGGAGAAAGCATTCGAACCCAATTTCCATCGTCGAATTTGTCGTTTCTGAAAGGCGGGGTCTAGGGGCTCATGGACCAGACTCAACGGGGGCTGCCTGGAGAGTATAGTACCTTGGTGCATGTTAGTTGTAGTAGAGCAGTCAGGTCTGTATTCCAATTACGAAGTTCGTCGGCCCAACTCTTGAGGCCTCACGCGCCACTAACTTCTTTGTCGTTGTGTTGGGGTTGCTCTTGATTGTGATGGGTTGGCCATTAGCATCCACAGGCCATTGTCAGGCAGCACATATGGACATCTTTCGATGCGTTGAGGCCTAGCTGGTTCGCATTGAAGTTTGGGAAGGAGCTTGGGCACGCGATGAGGCAAATACCAGTCGCTCCTTCCCCCGCATTCGAATTTGATACCTTCGATGGGCGTCCCATGGCAAATTGCCGGCTCGAGCTCTGGACCAAGCTACAACTCATTTGTTATCAACAATGCGCTGTGGCTAGATTAAGCAACATCTGGATTCATGGCCGAGTGGTTCCATGTCTATCCTAGCGGCTTCACCAGGGAACACCGCCCTTCACCAACGAGAACCCTTGTCTGTCAACCTTGCTGCTTCATGCCGCCTCTCTTACTCGCGCCGCTTCAGACCCTGCTTAGCATCCCATCCTGCTTACCCGTGGCCACATCAACGATTTTTGAGGCTGTCTTGCCATCTCTTTTCGTGCCCGGGTAGCTTTCAAGGTTCCTGCTTATTCCCCCAATCCGCTTGGACTAAAATAGTAGCAGTCAAGACTCAAGACATTCGCCATAGCCGTGCTCGCTGCCGAGTTACAACCTAACGTTAGCACAACTAAATCTCGATGTGGTGGCGGCCTCACTAATACTGCCGGATCGTCGTGGCATTCATGAATGGCCTGATTTTGCGGATAGTATTGCCCCTGGCACGAGCATCTCTTGCAACAACCCCGTTATCCGAGTTCGTGTAGGCCTCGATATTGGACCTGAGCAGTGAGCACCGCCTAGACGCCTCAACCTCATTTTCCACACTCCGTACAACACCATGGCCACGTCCAGCATCCAGTTGCCAGCAGTCCCCAACTCGGTGACTCCATGGTTATAAATGCTCATCCACTCATAAAAGCTGGCAGTGCCCTTTGCCGGAAAAAGACTCGAAACCGCGTCCTGGCCATTACTCATGCAGTCCTTAGTGCTGCTGCAGGTTCCCACCGCTGGCCAGACCGCCTTGCTTGCACTCCAAAGCACCCGGTGCTCATAAATCCCTTTTGAAGTCGGAGCCCAAGTCCAGAACCCTGGAGGCGAGTTCTGGACAATTTCCAACCCCCATTACAACTGTGGCTGGTTGTCGACACCTTGTGGTTGACGAGTTGGCCCTCTACAACTGGGCAAGGCCCCTCCCAGTCGCTCTCGCTATTCCAACGTTCGAATACGGCATCCACAGCCAAGGCCATTAATTAAGGACTTGCGCTGGTCAAATGCCATGCCCAGAAGCCGCGGCTGCACCGAAAATCGACCATCCCTTGGGTGCAAATCTCGCCAATCTACTCCGTGTTCGGCCCACTTGATCCCGCCTCCCTAGAAGTCACCACTAATTATTGTATTGTCCGGTGCAGTAGGACGGAGTAGTCCTACCCAACTGCTACTCTATCCCTCCATACCAAGGTCCGGTCAGTTAGTCCCAAGCCCTTTCCGTGACCTGTGTTTCCCAAGGGCTGGTGCTGCTCTGTTGGCTAGAAAGTGAGCACAAGCACAAGGGACTAGGCATTTGATATGCGTCTGCTTACTTCCTTTGTAGCATCCTTGAAGGAAGGGATTCGCCTCCGCGATACTCGACCCTGGCTAATACTTGCTGCAGCTCGTCCAAGTGAGTCGAGTGTGTTGCCCTTGTTCAGTTCCTACCACCGAAGCGTGCATGATGTTCCACTCTTCATCGTCAAACATTGCTCCATCCTCTTGATTGCTGAACTTCGGGCTCTTGTGCGTTTCCTTTTCCTTTTCCTTCGTTTGTCCCCTTGCCTTTGCTGCTTCTGCTGTCTTTGTTGAGCCTGCGGCACCCTTGATGTCCTTCAGAGCCGCCCCGGCGCTTCTGCTTGGGCCGTCCTATGCCATTTTCAGCAACGCAGCGCGCGCATCAAATAAAGATCGAGGTAGTTATTTACGCCCAAAGTGTATTTATTCTGTACTATTCTGCTTATGGGCCGTATCTTAGCGCGCCCTGCCACACCCCTCTCAAAGCTTGTGCCAACGCCGGCTGCGTCCCATGCTAATGACCGGCCCACTGGTGCTGCAGGCCAGGCCACTCGTGCATCCACCCTCGACTTCAAAGGCATGGCATCAGGCCCTTTCTTTCACCACATCGCCACACCTCCGGGCCCGAGTTCAGCGCATCCCACTACCTCCTTTCCTCGTTGCAATCATCCCGAACTCTGCGAATGTGTATTTGCATGCGTCGTGAGCTGACATGACCTATTCCAGGCATAGTTAGGTCCGTCCTTTGGCTCTATAACCCCCCTCGTCGGCCCTTTGTATGACCTTCCATTCGGCCCCGTTGCAAGACGCTGGATCATCGTCCATCGGCTTACATCTGCGTCTTCGCTCACGATTCTCCTATAGCTGGCGAAAAATAGTACACGATTCACGACGCACGGACAGGGGCTGCCAACATGGATGGCTATAACCGACCGATGGGCTTCTCCGAGAGGAGGGGAAGCATCTTGACCGAGGAGTTGGCGCTCAATACCGGGAATACCACAATGAGCAACCCCAGGATAGAAAAACTGCCTCAGCAGCACGCTCGACAGATCAGAGGACCTCCGACTCCGAGCATACCCACGCCGGCGACCGACTATGACCAACAGCTAACGGGTTCACCACCACCGCCTCCCACGCCCGCAGCGTCCCCTGGTCCTGCGCAATGCCAACCGGACTGGAGCGATGCTGCAGATGACGAGGACTTCTTTCTCGCCAAGGTTCGCCAGCACTTTAAGAACTGCTCGGGTCCGCAGCGAACCAGGGTGTTGGCTGATCTGCTCAACCTATGCACCAGTCAACAGTTGAGTTTTGTCCATCAGTTCGTTAGTCCGCTTCTCAAGAAGGACCCCTTCACCAGCCTACCAGATGAGTTATGTTTGAGGGTAAGACATGACAAGACACTCCATCTTCACCATCTACCTGCGCTTGTTGTGGGATAATGCAAGTTTGCCGTGTGATTGACCAAGTTGACACAGATCTTGTCCTTTATTGACGATCCGAAAGTCTTGGCTCGGGCTTCACAAGTATCAAAAAGATGGCGAGACCTCCTCAGTGACGACATGACATGGAAAAATCTTTGCGTCAAACATGACTACGGCCGTCGGTTGTCGGAAATCAATACCCCGTCACCCGTCTTGCCGATGAGGTCGGTTGCTCATACTCTTACGAATGCCGACTACGACATGGTGACCAGCAGCAGTTTCCCCGGTTCATATCCGCTTTCCGGCCATGGCTCTGGTTCTAGAAGTTACGACGGCACCACCAAAGTGCGACCCAAACTGCGATCGTACAAGTCTCACTTTAAACAGCGATATCTAGTTGAGGCTGCGTGGAGATCTGGCGGCACCAGTGTTCACAGAAACATCACTCAAGAAGGCGGCGTCGTTACGAGCTTGCATTTGACTCCAAAATATATCATTGTGGCTCTGGATAATGCTAGGATCCATGTATTTGATACTAATGGAGACTCCCAGCGCACACTGCAAGGACATGTCATGGGCGTCTGGGCCATGGTGCCATGGGAGGATACCATGGTCAGTGGTGGTTGCGATCGTGATGTTCGCGTCTGGGACCTGAAAACCGGGTATGCTCACTCTCTGGCCAGAAGGATCTAAACAAGCTAACATGTGCCTGTGTATAGTGCTTGCCTCCATATACTGCGGGGCCACACGTCCACAGTCCGATGCCTCAAGATGGCTGATGCGAACACTGCAATATCTGGTTCTCGAGATACGACTCTTCGAATCTGGGATATAAGGACAGGATTGTGCCGAAATGTATTAGTTGGACATCAGTCTAGCGTGCGCTGCTTGGAAATCAAGGGCGATATCGTTGTATCAGGCAGTTATGATACCTTCGCAAGAGTGTGGAGCATCTCAGAAGGGCGATGTCTCCAGACCTTGCAGGGCCACTTCAGTCAGATTTATGCCATTGCTTTTGATGGCAAAAGGGTGGTAACAGGCAGTTTGGATACCAACGTCAGAGTTTGGGATCCAACTACTGGGTGTGTATTCACATAACCAACGGTCCCTATTTACTTCCAACTAATGACGTCCTTTTAGTGAATGTCTTGCCATCTTGCAAGGCCACACATCGCTGGTTGGGCAGTTGCAAATGCGTGGGGACACTCTTGTCACTGGAGGATCTGATGGATCCGTTCGAGTCTGGTCACTTGAGAGAATGTGTCCCATCCACCGCCTTGCGGCCCATGACAACAGCGTGACTAGTTTACAGTTCGACGACACCAGAGTTGTCAGTGGTGGAAGCGATGGCCGTGTGAAGATATGGGATCTTAAAACTGGACATCTTGTCCGAGAGCTCATTGCTCAGGGAGAAGCTGTCTGGAGGGTTGCATTCGAAGACGAGAAATGCGTCGCCCTGGCTTTGAGGCAGGGTCGCACTGTGATGGAGGTAAGCAACGTTTTCCAGTTTTGTAGAGTCAGTTGTGGACAGGTCTAACGATAATGTAGGTTTGGTCATTTTCACCACCTGAGGAACAGCTCTATGACCGGCCGCTCTCTCTTCAGCAGCGCTTACTCGAGGACCCCAACAGGCCTCTGAGCGCCATGGCACTCGATTATAAGGCTGGAGACCCAACTGTAGCGGGTCCAAGCCGGGAGAACCAAGATGTTGACATGCAAGACGCTGGCGCCGCTGCAGGCCCATCTACCGCACCGTTACAAGGCCGAAATAAAACGTTTTTTCATGACTAGTGAGTGGCATTTTCCGGCAGAGGGAGTCTGGTGTCCTGATGACACCATGTCAGCAATTTTAGCCGCCTGATTCATGCATGATATAAGACCGGAACCGAGGTCACACGAAACTTGTTCTATCCCTTTTAACAATTCTGCATGAGTTCTTAACCTTAGCATTTGGCGTCTGGGGCCGCCGGGCTTTTGACTTGTTCATATATGGACAGCCTCCAGATTATAGAAGGTGGGCGAGGCTTTGTGGGAAGCATGTTACAATAGGCGTTGTCACAGCATTTGAAACGTGCGTCACTTTTTTATTTACCATGGGTGGCTTTTGGGGAATATCATACTATACAATACGCATGAGGATACTGGAGAAATATTGGGTTCTAGGGTCAAGCTGATCATGAATGGAGTAAGAATGAGGACTCAGGGGGGCGGGCCGGGATGGCCCATGCCAAGGCTATTATTACGGGCTGATGGGAGCATGTTAGCCATAATACCATGATACGAAACTGTTTTAAGATATAGCTAGCAAGCTACAGTCAGAACAGGGTCTTGATAAGGACGTTTTAAGAAAATTAGTAGTCATGAGGATTGAACAGGTCCTTTTTTGAGGCTGATTGTCTGCCATGGCTAGGTCTGCTGAGGGTTTGCTGGGTCCATGTCAGGTCAAGTGGTCGGGCTGATGCCATTCGACTAGACGTTTCCACGTTTCCATTACCTTACCCATTTGGTCCCTTATCTCCCAGGCTTGTAGCAGCTCTGCTCTGTGAAGTGGCACAGGAACGGGCTGCCACTTCCAAACCCCTGTACAGTACCTGCAAGGTCTGCAACAAAATGGCGCGGTGGTCCCGATGTCGCATCACGTGCGGAAGGGTCTAGCACTGTTTTGGACTAGCGTGATCCAACAGAGCTCTCAACGCTCAACGCCGTGAAATTTCGGAGAGCTCCTTGTCGGCGGGCGGCGCAGATTGACAGCATTTCATTCTTCAAGACCACCATCCTCTCACCTTTCCCATTGAACAGAGGCCATCACCATATCGATAGCGTCATGTTTTCCAGAGCTCTCAGAGTCCAAAGGGCGATGCCTATGCGCATCAGGGCAGCCCAGGCACCCTTTGCCCTGGTCTCGCGATCTGTTACCACTGACGCTGCCTCTGCGTCTCTTCACAACTCTGTCCCTCAGGTAAGACTCTGTACACCTTCCACGGGTGTATTCTCCAACACCATTGCCACAGAATATGCCTAGAAGAATGCCACGCAACGAAGTTCCCTCAAATTTGGCAATTGGCTCACTGACGAGTTTTTCCGACGTAGTCCGAGGACGAGCCTTTCCAGGTCGCCCTCAGTGATGAGAGCTTCGAGACCTACGAGCTGGACCCCCCTTCTTACACCATCGAGGTAACCAAGAAGGAGCTGAAACAGATGTACTACGACATGGTCACCATCAGGTACGATTGCAGACACCCCTGATTGAAAAATCGGGGGTTGCCTTTGGGAGGTTATGCAATTTGCTGATAATCCCGCAGGCAGATGGAAATGGCCGCCGACCGCCTGTACAAGGAGAAGAAGATCCGTGGTTTCTGCCACTTGTCTACTGGACAGGAGGCAGTTGCCGTTGGTATCGAACACGCCATCACCAAGCTCGACGACGTCATCACCGCCTACCGATGCCACGGTTTCGCCCTGATGCGCGGTGGTACTGTACGATCCATCATCGGCGAACTGCTCGGACGACGTGAAGGTATTGCCTACGGAAAGGGTGGTTCTATGCACATGTTCTCCAAGGGATTCTACGGCGGCAACGGTATTGTTGGTGCCCAGGTTCCTGTTGGTGCCGGTCTAGCCTTTGCCCACAAGTACAATGACAGCAAGACCGCCAGTATTATCCTGTACGGTGATGGTGCCAGTAACCAGGGCCAAGTGTTTGAGGCTTTCAATATGGCTAAGCTCTGGAACTTGCCTGCCCTCTTTGGTTGCGAGAGTGAGTTTTTTTTCCCGCTTTCCCCCCTTGCTTTTCTCCCTCGCAGACGTGACGTGAGGCCTGCCATAGGACCGTCTTAACTAATTTCAACATTAGACAACAAGTACGGTATGGGCACTTCTGCTGCTCGATCATCCGCTTTGACCGACTACTACAAGCGTGGACAGTACATCCCTGGTCTCAAGGTTAACGGCATGGACGTCTTGGCTGTCAAGGCTGCTGTTACGTATGGCAAGGAGTGGACTGCCGCCGATAAGGGCCCTATGGTTCTCGAGTATGTCACCTACCGATATGGAGGTCATTCCATGTCCGACCCCGGCACTACCTACCGTACCCGTGAGGAGATTCAGCGCATGCGATCCACCAACGATCCCATTGCCGGACTGAAGCAGAAGATTTTGGATTGGGAGGTCACTACCGAGGATGAGCTGAAGAAGATTGACAAGGAGGCCCGCAGCCATGTCAATGAGGAGGTTGCTATTGCCGAGGCTATGGCTGTTCCCGAGCCCAAGCCTTCAATCTTGTTCGAGGACATCTATGCCAAGGGAACCGAGCCTCAGTACATCCGTGGTCGTACCCCTGACGAGAACTACTACTTCTAAGCGCCCTGTATAGGATTCTTTTCTGTCTTGGCAGGGGACCTATGAGAAATTGACCTATGTGCGGAGTAGTGGCGATTATAAACAAAAACAACCTATCTATAATGACCCCTTTGAATTTTCGCCTTTTGTACTATAACCCTTTAGATAGAGGGCCGGAAAGCTCGAAAACAAGCCTTGTGTTCTCTGTTGTTTCAATTGAATAGTTAGCAGGGTGGAATCGATCCAAATTTGGATATACGACTTGTGATGGATGCCATGAGAAACCTTGTGTTTGCGAATTGAACAGATAGGAGGAGATATTCCTCGCAATGAGCATAGTCGTGGATGTATGAATGTACCAGTCGTAAACGGGTCTCGTGTTAGGCAACTAAGCGGCCACTTCATTCTCAGGCCATATTGATGCTTGCATGGTTCCAATTTTTCGTGGGGCTCAGGCAGCGCGAAGCTTCAAGCATAGCACGTGATTCTACCTCGCGACGTGCCTTAGCTCCTGGTCGCGAAGCCAATTAACGCGCTTCTGCCTGGCAGCGGCGCGTCATGGTAATAATTGGCTTTAACAATGGCACCATCTGCCGCAGCACCACGATCACGCATTTAATTCCACATCCATACTCGACGATTTATTTCACGGTGGCTACTTACAAGAGCCTGGGAAATATCTTGCGCCGGTCTCTGGTACAATTGGCACTTGGAAGACAGCGTATCATGGCGCCGCCGAAGCAGGCGACCTTGGGGTATGTGAAGGGTCAGAGCACTTTGGGGTGCGTGAATTGGTGATGAAAGCTATAAATTATGATGAATAGCAGTGTTGTTGAAATGCTTGCAAATGAGCTGAGAAGTACTAATTGGAATGTTTTCGGGCGCCTGTAGGAAATTCTTTGGTGTGAAGAACCCGGCACCACAACAGCAGACGAAGCTTACATTTGCGACGAAAGCCCGTGCTGTGGAGGGGGGCGACGAGGATGCGAGTGCGAAGGAAAATACAGATCCCGATCATGGTGAGTTTCTATTTGACCGCGACGCTAATAATACCGCTATGAAAGAGGGGATCGCTGACGTGAGCTGGTTAGATTCTAAGAAGCGAGCCCGTGTGCCAAGTCAAAATAGTACCGTAAAACTCGAGGATGACGAGGACGATGGACCTGTGGTCAAGCGAGTGAGAAGAAGTAGAGTTAAGGTCGAGGAAGACGAGGATGATGAGCCTGCCCAGTCGATGCCCAAGAAAGAAGATAATGTCAAGGATGTGACAATCAAACAATCTGTTGAAGAGGTTCCCAAAAAGGAAGGAGACGCCAAAGATGTAAAAATCAAGAAAAAGAGCCAGAGTCCGGATCCCGACCGCAAGCCCCTTAAGACCGCAGATGATGGGTTCAAAGAAGAGGCGGCTTCAGAGTCTGGCTCAGAGGCTGAAGAAGATGCAGACGTCGATGAGAAGCCAGAAGTTGCTGCAAAGGCAAGGGAAAAGGTGCAAACACAGCTCCAGTCCAAGACTGCTCAGCACCCTTATCCTGATTGGCAACCAGGTAGCCCTGTTCCATATGCAGCACTATGCCAAACATTCTCATTAATTGAGATGACGACGAAGCGATTGATCATTATGGGGCATTGCTCGCTGTTTCTCCGGCAAGTTATGCGACTCACCCCGGACGATTTGCTCCCTACGGTTCTTCTCATGATTAACAAACTTGCACCTGACTATGCTGGAATTGAGCTCGGTATTGGTGAGTCTCTCATCATGAAGGCTATTGGTGAGACTACTGGGCGAAGCTTGCAAATCATCAAGGCGGATCAAAAAGAGATTGGTGATTTAGGTCTCGTGGCAGTCAAGAGTAGATCTACGCAGCCAACCATGTTCAAACCCAAGCCGCTTACGGTGAGAGGCGTGCACCAGGGTCTGATGAACATTGCTACTGTTACTGGTAACGGTGCTCAGGGCCGAAAAGTCGACGGCATCAAGAAGCTCTTGTCTGCTGCCGATGCCTACTCTACTGTCAAGGCAGACATTACCAAGGATAAGGGCGGTCCAAGTGAAGCCAAGTTTATCATCAGGTTCCTCGAAGGCAAGCTGAGATTGGGTCTTGCCGAAAGAACCGTGCTGGTTTCTCTTGCCCAGGCCATCGTCTGCCATGAGGCTGAGCAAAAGGGCAAGGTTCCCAGCACCACCGACATGGAGAATGGAGAATCTATTCTCAAGACGGTGTACAGGTATGTAACCGCGAGAACGAACCAAGCTTTTCTTGGTACTAAACTGTGTGTAGTGAGCTGCCTAGCTACGATGCCATCATTCCAGCAGTTCTTTCGCATGGGATCATGAACCTGAGAGAATGCTGTAAGCTGCGTCCTGGCGTGCCCCTGAAGCCCATGTTGGCGAAACCCACAAAAGCCATTACCGAAGTACTCGATCGATTCGAGGGTCAAAAGTTCACTTGCGAGTACAAGTACGACGGCGAGCGAGCTCAAATTCACTACGTCGCCAGGGATTCAGATCAGGAGTTGAGCCAGGAAACCTCTGGAGCCGCCAAACAAGCAGCCGATGGAGTCGCTAGCATTTTCTCCAGAAACTCGGAAGATTTGTCCAAGAAATATCCCGATATCCTCGCCAAGCTGCACACTTGGGTCAAGAATGACACCAAGAGTTTTGTGTTGGACTGTGAGACGGTAGCCTGGGATGTCTCTGAGAAGAAGGTGCTCCCGTTCCAGCAGCTCATGACACGAAAGAAAAAGGACGTCAAGCTGGAAGACGTCAAGGTCAAAGTATGCGTGTTTGCCTTTGACTTGCTGTATTTGAACGGTCTCCCCGTCGTGGAGAAGTCGCTGCGTGAAAGACGAGAGCTGCTCCAGCAGTCCTTTGCGCCAGTCGAGGGTGAATTTGCGTTTGCGACCTATATGGATGGCCAGGAACTAGATGAGATCCAACTCTTTCTGGATGAGAGCGTCAAAGCCTCATGCGAAGGCCTGATGGTCAAGATGCTGGACGGAACTGAAAGTGGATATGAGCCCAGCAAACGCAGTCGGAACTGGCTCAAGGTATGGCCGGTCTCAGCCATCATCAAAAATGAAAAAAGAAGAGAAACAATTGCTAACATCCTCCCCCAGGTAAAGAAGGACTATCTCGCCGGCGTAGGCGATTCGCTAGACCTCGTCGTTCTCGGCGCATACTACGGCCGGGGAAAACGAACCTCCGTCTACGGCGCGTTCCTGCTCGCGTGCTATAACCCGGCCAACGACACCTACGAAACCGTCTGCAACATCGGCACCGGCTTCTCGGAGCAAGTCCTCGAAGAACTTCACGCCCAGTTGTCCGAAATCGTCATCGACCGCCCCAAGCCATTCTACTCGCACTCCGCGGGCGGGCAGCACCAGCCGGACGTGTGGTTCGAACCCCGCTACGTCTGGGAGGTGAAGACGGCCGACTTGACGCTCAGTCCGCGGTACAAGGCTGGCTGCAAGGAGGGCGTCGACCCGGCGGGCGACAAGGGCATCAGTCTGCGGTTCCCGCGGTTCATTAAGATCCGCGACGATAAGAAGCCGGATGAGGCGACGAGCAGCAGGCAGATTGCCGAAATGTATAGGAAGCAGGAGAGCGTGACGAAGAATAAGGGGCCCTCCGTGGACGATGATTTCGAGTACTGAGTCATTGCAATATTCGCGTCAGGGGGGAGGGGTTCGCATGTTTATTGATGTATTACAAAGCGGTTGGCATTTTCCAATTCACCAATGCGTCGAGTATGTTGTTGGTTGAAGTAGCTCGGTGGAGTGTTGTCTCGGCGTTTGTGGCTCACATACATGATAGGGGGTCGGTGTGTGTTTGAAGCAAGCATATACATTCAATGTGTACGTCTAATCGCTGCATAATACATGATCAATGAAAAGTCTATAATATACTCGCCGCATCATCTGTATCCTCGACCCTCAACAACCCATGCTCCTCACCAGTGTCTTGCTCACGCTCATTGCTGTCCAATGCACTAGCTCGCGTATTGCCTGCTGGCGCAGTCCCCGTTCTCCTCGTCTCATCTGCCCCGTTGAGAACGTACCACACATCCTTTTTGGTAAGAAGACCCTGCAGAACGCCGCGATCAGCGAAGAGAACGTATCGAAGACCGAGCTTCTGAAAATACGTCACTACGAGGTGCAGGTCCGTACGGGACGGGAGCGTCAGGGGAGTCTGGTCCATCCACGGACGAAGATCCAGTATCGTCCGGGGATCGGCAAGCGACTGATGAGAGAAGAAGACTTCTGTCTCTGTAGACAAGGAACGGGGTGGCTGCGTTGCAGTGCGGATATTGTAGCTTAATTCTGCGCGGGATATGTATCCGAGCAGAATGGCCTCGCGGGGATCCGAGATGACTGGGAATCCGCGGTAAGCGTGCATCTCGAGGATCGTGTTGAGAGAAGAAATTGTGTGTCCGGTGGCGGTAAGCACGTTCAGATCCTCGATCCGGGTCATGATTTGGGATGCAGGGATGTCGGGGATGGTCATTTCTTCGGAGTTGTCGAGGAACGGGTACTCATTAAAATGGATCCACGACTCGTAAATGCCACGGCGGGAGAAGGCGTCTCCTACCCACTTGGATATCATGACGGCTACCATGATGGGCAGGACGTAGGTCAGCGCGCCGGTGAGTTCGAACATGATTACGACAATGGAGACGGTCATTCGAGTGACGCCTGCCAGGGCCGCGGATGCGCCGATGATGGCGTATGTGCCTGGGGTGATGCACGGGACGTCTGGTGCGCAAGAGGCAAAGAAGACGAACTTGGGGTGGTTGTGAACCCAGATTTCCATTATAATTCCCACGGCGCGGCCTGTCAATGCGCCAATTGCCATGGATGGAAGGATGATGCCGGCGGGAATCTGGAGGCCAAAGGTGATGCTTGCGAGGAAGAAGCCCAGTACTGCCGCAAATATGAGCAGCACGACGGTCCCGGCGGATGCTGTGCCTGTCCTACAAAGGCCAATAGGGTCGTCAAGAACACGGGAGCATTCCGAGAACAAGCTCGACACGAGCTCCGTCGACTGGACTTTCATGTAAAAGTTTGGGTAGTTGATGAGAGCTGTGAGGAGAGCCACGGCAAGAACTTGAATAATCGGTCCAGGCAGCCAACGTTGGGTCTTCTTCCAGCGTGCGACAGCCATGTTGGTGCGGATGAAAAGACCACCGTAAACGCCCTGTTGCGTGTCAGTTTCGCAGTTGGACTCAGAAAATGAGGGAACTATACCCCAAAGATGCCCAGAATGGCATAAGGAATAATTTCGAAACCGTGCCAATCCACGCTGTACTTGGTCTGATACAAGACGAGCTTGCCTGATCGGAAGGGATCAAAGGCTTGTAAACAGACGGCTGCTGTCATGGCACATACGAAGCTCTGCCACATGGTCTTATCCGGAAAGTAGTACGACAGTTGCTGCAGTTCATATCAACACCGGCGTATGAGGATGGGATGTGCTTCGGAAAGAGGGAGCTTTACCTCGAGACTAAACAAGACGCCCCCAATGGGCGAGCCAAAGGCCACAGAGATGCCAGATGCGGCGGCTGCCGAAAGAACCTCTCGTTTCCGAGCTGACGCTTGTTAGACCGGACTGCAGCTTCGGGCTGGATCAAGTGAATCTGACCTTCATTTTCTCTAATATTGGGGAACAGTTTGATGAACAAGTTTGCGCAACAGCAAGCTACGTGCACCAACGGGCCCTCCTTTCCAAGCCACATGCCGGACGCTACAGCAAGCACCTAGAGTCTCATCAGAGCACTGCTCACACATAGATGAAGGACAAAACATACCAGACCAATGGATTTCGTGATCAAGGTCCAAGTGCCTAAGAATCTTCTTATGACAAAGCCACCCAGGACTGTCTTGAGCTCAGGGATGCCGCTATGCTTGGCATACATGGCATATTCCTGTACAAGAAGAGCAGCACAGTATGCCAATGTTATCTTGTAACTTGGTTAGCCAGGGTATGGAAATAATTTCAAGATGCACGTGGAGATTCTTACAGAATAAAGGAGATAGAAGAGGTACTCGACAACCCATTTCCCCCCAGCAGCTTGGACACCAAGAGCCTCGCTCCAATACTTCCATCCAGCACATTTGGAACCTTGATCATAGCCATAACAGCAAAAGTTCTTGTTGAGATAGAAATGGCCGCCCTCCGGCCCGCTGGAACAAAAGCCTAGTTTCAGGTCTCCCAGCCAGTCGCTTGATACGTTTATTCCCGCAGCAATTGCGCCAACGAGCAAGCCCGTCAAGACCAGAATAACCCAGACTTGACTGGCATCTATAAAATGTTGAAAATAGCCCATGATTCCGCTCGCGCTAGATGACAGCACACGCATTCGCTGTCGTTCTTTGGTGTACTCGAAGATCCAGTCAATGGCCGTCAGGTCCTCATACCCGACTCGTCGGCCAGGGCCTTCGGTGTACCAATCGTGAGACACTCCATCTTTGGAACCCGCAATAAACGCGTTAGATTGCGTCCTTTGCGGCGAACCTGTGACCACGGATATATTTCCACCGCGCTGGTGCCGCCGCTGAGGAGACGGGGTGTCTTGTCGGCCGGCGGACGGCGAGCCCGTGAGGGATGAGAAGAAGCGAGATGGACCAGATAGCACCGACGGCTTCGGCTTGCGCTTAAAGGACAGCGGGGTGTTCAAGTCCTGGCCAAAGGGGTCGTCGTCGAGAACGTGGCCATGGGCGGCAATGTCGTGGTCACTCTCTTCGTCGAGGAAGTCGAGCTCGTCCCTGTCGTCGGTGGATGGCGGCGTGCGCGCATTCGGGGGTGAACGGGACGAGGATGAGGCAGAGGCAGAGGCAGAGGCAAATTGATCGTGCTGGGCGGCTCCAGACATGATGCGGCTCGTCCCATTTTCCAGCGGCCGTGGGATGAAGCTGGGATGGGTTTGATGTTGAGCAAGTTTAAAGTCGCACTGCGCCGCCTTCGAGTTGGCCAAGAAGAGGCGTGGCTTGGCAGAGGCATCAGTCTCGCGCATTGACGGGGGACATGGAATGTAGCGCTAGGCGCCGCTCTGCAGGGGTCATCAGCCGCCACCGACCCAAATAGCGGGCGCGATTAACAGCGAAAGATCCACTGACATGGACATGAGGCGGCTGGTTGGGCCCACATGCAGCCTGGCAATTTACACCAGACTTGACATCAACACGACGTCAACCCACGCTGATTGGGTGCTTGTCGTGGGTTTTCTTGCAACATATCCTTCATCACCACGTCAAACATCGACTTCCAGTATAACAACCATGGTTTGATTTACATTGCAGATACAAAATGACTGTTTGCTCGAATTCCTGAATACATACGACACCATATGCAACACCTTTTCGGACCCGAAAATCCAGCCGCGGCAGAAGCAGCCTCCATGAGATCCTGCTCACCCATATCGGACTTGAGAAGAAGACTTTGAACATCAACTTCATCAAATCAACATGGATCATCAATCAGCCGCCCAATCCCGCCAATCCTTCCCATCCTCACAAGCAGACTCTCCGAATAGTCAAACCCCCACAATCTCCCAAATCCAAGCATTTCTCAGGTCCAAGGACGACACCCAGCGCTTCGTCGGCCTGGCTCTCCTCAAGTCTGTCCTCGACAACACGCCTAACCTCCGGCAGGATGAGCAAGTCGTCAAGGCCCTATGGGACAGCATATCCCCCCGGTTTCTGGACAGACTCATAAAAACAGGGTCCAAGCCCTCGGGTGAAAATAGCAAGGAGATGTTGGACCTCGTTGTGTCCGTCATCCACACATTTGCTGCGCTACTGCCCGAGTCGGCGAGGAGCGAGGATAAGTTCACGGAGAGAATACCTGGACTCGTGGGAGCTGTATTGTACAGGCATGTCATAGACCCTAGATAGATTCCTTTCCTTTTCACTTATTTGTAAATATGCAGGCTTGCTAACAGAATACAGTTCTGACGAGACAACGGCCTTGCTATTACAACTTCTTCACACGCTCGTCAGCACGCCAGCCGGCGCAAAAGCCTTCATTGACACAGGCGATGTCAGCGCCCTAAGCGAGATTGCCCCAACACATGCCGTTGTTATGGATATCTTTTGCTTCGCGTGGCTGAATGGCATGGCCATCGTTGTAGAGAAGCACGTGTTGATCAACCAAATTGTTGATACGATCCAATCGCTCGTGTCTTCATTCTCGGGCACGGATGGTGTTACCCTACTCGAATTCCTGGGAACTTTTTTTAGACAGGCTGACCCAACTGTACGCCACCTCGTCCTTCCGAATCTATTCCCAGAGAATACGCAACTAACCATGATGACAGGTCCTCCCCCATGAACCTGGATGGCTAAAAACAGCCGTCGGCTTCATCCAAACCCTCGTCACCAGTCGTCCCAACACGGCCGCCAGATCAGCCTACACCAACGCCGCCGCATCCCTTCTACAGGCCTACCCACAGTCAACACCAAAGCTACTCTTCGCCGAAAACACAAAGGACGACAAACCATTCGGGTACCTCTTGATAAATCTCATGCTTATAGACATCCGATCATCTGCGCCAACACTCCTCGAACAACTAAACAGTCCCGAGTACGCCAAACTCTCCCGTCGACTAGCGTCCGCCTTTGACGTTATTTCCATCTTCATCGGACATCTTGTCCGATGT